GAGAAATGTGTGTGTGATGCTATCATGGCAGAAAACCTTCATCAGATGAACGTGTTAAAGAATCCTGGGCTTCTGCCCTGACGATACCACCCAGATGGGGAGATCCACCTGCCTTCCCCATCAGCGCACCCTCTGCCAGGCAGTTCTTGTGCTTTGTGGCCAGAGTGAGGCCCAGCGACTGGTTTCCTTTGGGTCACAAATCTCTGATGTATTTTAGGTCCCCCCGGGTCGCCTGGCCTGGATGGCTTGCACGGTTTGAAGGGTCAGAAAGGAGCCAAAGGTGTTTCAGGTAAGATAAAAACCACTCGTGGACTGTGAGATAAAGTAGTACCTCCCCTGAGATTTCCTCGTCTCATGAGATTTAGGGGTGAAACTAAAAAACTGGCTTAGGTTGGAGACAGAGTTGGAAGCACTTTTAGTGTTGACAATGACATAAAAAGGATGTTTGAAAAAACCCTGTCTGAGAAGGCATGGCTGGTTAACAGTGACTTTTGTTGGCATTGCTTGGGCCTCTGCTAAAAAACACTCTGAATAATTGCGTTAATGGAGTTAGATTTCAAAATGTTATAATAACAAATAAATAGCTGAGGCTTTAAACTGTTTGTAGTGTTTTAAGTGTAGTACCGGCATGTCGGAATTAGTACTTTTACAGCCTTTCACAGGCACTGCCGAAACCAATTACCTGAGCCGTGTGCTGGTATTTTTGACACTGCAGATAGGTTAATCTTCAGTAACGCATTTTAGCCTGTTCATTAAGGGCATGCACATCTGCTGTGTTACTCTCCCAGAAAATGGCTCACAGTCAGACCAAGTAGCCGGAACCCCACCCATGAGTGACCATGGGGAACAGGCTAATTGTGCTGTGTGGTTTGAATCTGTTGTCAGAGAGGGAAAATCTGTATATTTGGGGAAAAAAGTACTTTATAGTAATTTAGGTCACTTAGGATTCATGCAGTGGCTTTTCCAAATGTCTGATTAAATGTTTGCACCTTCCCTAAACCACTGGAGTTCTCCCTCTTCAGTGCGAAATTCCATAATCCAGTAGAACCTCTGTAAGTTGACCACCTAAGGGCCTGTAACAGAGTGGTCAACATATGGAGGTGGTGAACATAGGGAACTCAGCCTGCTGTACTGACACGGGTGTGGGGTGCATGTCCAGTCTGTGAAGATTAGGTCAGTGTAGGGAGCTGGTCAACTATGGACGTTCCATTGGAGGTCTAGTTATGCCAGTGTCCACCTCAATTTTCAAAGCAGTGAATTCATAATTATTTATTGTTTTATCACATTTGTTTTTGCTTTCTCTGTTGTAGAATTTAGAGGGTCAGCATTGTCTCTACACTGTTGTGTTTGTGTATTTTTTTCCAATGTGGAAAATAATCATAAAAGAAATCAAAGGGATTACCCAGGAATACCATGCAGCCTTGGGGATCCCCATTGCAGCCAGTGGTCAGTCTCCACTGAATAACCACTTCTCTGCCACTGTTGGGAAGCAGTTCCTTCCCAGATGCTGTGGCAGGGAAAAGCAAGGAGAAGATACGGTATTAATGCTGTTTTCCCCATGAAGGTTTGCATGACACAGGCCCGCCTGGGCCAGTGGGAATACCTGGGCCAAAAGGAGAGACAGGAGACCCTGGGAGCCCGGGAATCTCTCCTCTGGGACCTTTTGGAGAGAAAGGTCTTCCAGGCCCCCCAGGTAAGAAGTGGCATGCTTTGCCTCTCTTCAAATAACTAAATCAAAACCTGCCAAATGTAAATGAGGCTGACGTCTGAACATGTGTCTTCTCAGGGAGACCAGGACTACCTGGCCCTGCAGGCGCCAGAGGAGAAGCTCCTAAGGGTGTTGTTCCTCAGCCAGGTCCACCTGGAGATCGGGGACCTCCTGGCCCTGATGGCCCAAGAGGTATAAGGAAATCACGACCAACGATGGCCACACTCCCTTTGCTAGATGCTGTCAGCCCTGCAGGGACACAGGATCAGAGACAGGCAGAGCAGAACAGCCCCGTCCATCTGGCAGATGGCTAAGCGGGGTCCAGTTGGGGTGGGAGTGTGGGGAGTAGTGGGCTCTCAGGAGCCTATCCAGGACCATAACTGGGTCCTCTCACTCTTCCCTTCCAACTCCGTCAGACAGTTTCTCCATGAATTCAAACTCTGACTCCGAGCAAGCACTTCCCAGGGCTAGCTTGAGGCTGACCATGAGGCTTCAGGAGGGAGTCACATGTTCTTTGTGGGTCTCTAGCCCCCGTCTCATAAACAACTGCCACTGGCCCGGAGTGATAGGACCTGGGCCTGTCACACATAAGACAGTACGTGTTGTTCCTCCTATTACTTTAGAGAGACAAAATCCAGCAAGGCAAGATGTTGGAAGTCGTTGCTAAGCTGACCAAGTAGGGTTAGGCAGGAGCTGAGTTGGGGATTGGGAGAAGAGCACAGCTCTGATATCTTGCTAAATGCTGACCATCACATTCATACATGCTCTGAGAATTCTTCTACAGGGACACAAGCCCACTGTTTGAATCTTTAGGAAAAAATTAAAAGCACTCAAGAATGCACTAAGTATATAAGTAGGAATAGAATTCATTCCTATGTGAAGACACTTATTTTCAAATAGGACTATAAATGTAGTTGAGTAAACCTTCCTTTTCCATCAGCTGTAATGTCCTCAAAAGCCTATCTATCTGTCCATTTGTCTGTCCATCCATCTGTCTAGCCATGTTTCCATCCATCTATCCATCTTATAAAGCGGTGAGGTGGCAATGCAAACAAAAACCATGAAATGATACTTTCCAAAGGAATGTCTCTGAAGGGAAGGAGGGCTTTGCCTAGGTTCATCTTGTCTAACAATTACTAACCTACCATTGATGCTATTTCTCCACTTGGGCTTCTTGTGACCCACCCTCTGTTTCACTTCTGATGCTGTTGATTTTCTTAATCTAATTCCCCCCAATCCCTTGCTTGTAAATTATTAAATTGATTTTCTTAAGAAACCCTCAAGCAGACAATATATACATTTGTCTTTGACTAAAAAAATATTTTTTCTTCCTCCCCTTGGTCAGGAGCACCTGGGCCCCCAGGACCCCCCGGGAGTGTTGACTTTCTGAAAGGGGATCCAGGTGACTGTGGTCTGCCGGGGCCACCAGGTCCCCCGGGTCCACCGGGCCCCCCAGGGTCCAAAGGCTTTCCAGGATGCGATGGAACTGACGGCCAGAAAGGTATGAACGCAAGTTGTTCCTTAAGTAGCATGCAGGGCCCCTCATTATCCTGGAGGGTCTTGGGTGCTGCACTGTCATGAGGTAGTTCCTATTTCTATGCAAACAGTGACTAGATTTCCAAAATGTCCTGACTTGCCCAAAGAGTCCTCAAGTTTGGGTAGAAGTTAGACAAGTAAAAGGAAGGAACACAAGTTCATTTTAACCCCTACTACTACTCTTGATATTCTTCCAAACCAGAACTGCACAACAGAAACATCATGCAACCTCCATGGCAATCTAAAAATGTAGTGGTCACATTTTAAAAGGTAAGAACAAACACTTGGAAGTTCACTTCCTACTGCATTTTATTTAACATAACATATCCAAATGGTATTCTTTTAACATATAACTAATATAAAATTATCAATGGGATAATTGAGCTGATCGTACGAACCTAGCTCCTCTCCCAAATAAGCCTCTCCTAAAATACTCATTTAAAGTGATTTTTTTATTGAACTGCTAATATTTGTGGATGTCAGTTTGGGGTCACCAGAGTTTCAGAGTATTACTATAGCCAAACAACTTTTTGTGGAGCAGAGACATATAACAATTATCCACTGTAACTCTCGTTATATTTATTTCATAAATAAGGAAGCTGGATATCAGAGAAGCAACTTCTGACATTTGCACAGGAAGCCCAATAACTGGCATCCTGCCTGACTTCTGAACCAAAAGTGAACTAAGGCAAAAGATTAGGGCTTAGAGGAGGCCAAAATCTCCATGAGGCTGCCACGATCAGAGTGCAAATAACATCTCTAGAATTGTGCAACCTGTTCAAAGTATGGAGCCACCCACTCCGTCATTAACATCATTTCAAGAATATAGCTTACATCTGCTGGTCTGTAGTCTTCCAATTATTGAACCTCAAAATTGGGCAAACATGCTAGCAAGCCTAGCACTCTACTCACCCTAGTTGTTACTCTAGACAATGAATTTCCACCTGCACATAAACTTTAGGACCGGAGACATTGCATGCCATACCAATGGCAGTGATCTACCCGGGGATATACAAGGGATTAGAAATACTGGTTGAACCACTAAGCACGCTTCTGAGCTCCCATTCTAGAGATTATAAGGGCCAAATAGTGCTTTACTGAAAGGAGGGTAAGGGAGTTTCTTTGGCTTACCTTTTA